AAACATTTTCTACACACAAATTCATAATTATAATAAATAATAATTGTTGTTGCTTAAAATTTTAATTAACCCGTATCTTCTGACAAAATAAAATTATTTGCTTGACATTAAATATTCGTTTCTAGTATGCGGTTAAGCTAATAAAACAAAAAAAAAAAAACAAAAAAAAAAAAAATAATATAAAAATTTTACGGTTCACTACCTTTCTATACAAAAAGCCAATTTCATTTCGGAAAGATAAAATTCTTTAACTATGCAGAATGCACTTGATACGCACAAAAAGAAATAATAACTTTAAAATGCAAAAGTTATTTATATCATTATCATTAAATATATTTCTTTTTAAATGTCAATGATATTGTTGGGACGCATAAGGGACAAGGGGTGGAATAATGTATTTACATATGAAAGTGAATAAAAAGATTTGTCAGTAGATAAACTTTTGCTGATGCAGAGAATCAATATGTAATGACATAATGTAAAGCGCACTTTATTAGATTTTTTAAAAAATAACGTTGAATTATAACTTTCAGTAACCTACATTAGAAATCTTAAATCAAATATTACGTACATTGACGTTTAATTAAAAAGTGAATTGCGAAGGTACCAGTATGAGATAAATCGATGTATTTGTGTGCCCAATTGATTTTATTGTTTAATGTATCGTTGTGGGAATGGAGAGGGGCCAACTTTGCTTTACATCTCAGTTTTCCTTCGCATTCGAGGAAAATATCAGGATTCTCTAAAGCCGGTTATAAGCGACACCGCATGTCGCTATTTGCGAATAAATGCCAACTTAATTAGCAGAATAAATTGTTACTGGAAATTATTAATAATATTTTGTATAAAATATGTACATATATATTGAAAAATACTTGTGACGAATATAATAATCATTATTATTTACAAAATTACCAGCTAATAACAATTCGATAGAATGTTGGAAGTGTTACTTAAATGTTTATATTGAGTTTGTCGAAACGTTTTAGCTCATTTAATTGGATATAATTTGTATATCGGCCAGTTGATCGAAATGATTATTTCTTAAATAAATGTACTATTTTAAAGTGGAAATTTACAGATGAATAAACAATACAATGAGTAAATTGCAGAAATATCCGTATTAGCAGATAAAGTTATTTTGTCTTTGTTCGCTTTCATTTACTTATTCATATTTTATAATTGATATTATATTATATTATTCTATATAGAAATGTCAGGAATGCAGTGTTGAAAAAATTATTTTAATATAATTCTAATATTAAAAATCGATAATAATTTACCTTAAAATTATGTAAATTAGTAATATAAAATACGAAGTATTTTAAAATTAGACGGAGAATAATAATAACAATAACAATAACAACAACAACAATAACAACAACAACAATAATAATAACAACAATAACAATAACAATAACAATAACAATAACAATAACAATAATAATAATAATAATAATAATAATAATAATAATAATAATAAATACAACAATTAATATTAATAATTGAGGCGTTATTAAAACTAGCTTTAATATCCGAATAAAATAAGTAACAAACTGTTATCGTATGATTATAAATTAAATAGTAATTGCTTATCGAGACTGAAATGTGCGCCGAGGTAAGTAATGGTGTCCTTGCGCTAAAATAACCCTTAAAACCAAAGGAATAATAACTTTGAGCAAAACGGACGGAGACTTTCAATAAGCCACTGTTCATTGAAAAGTCGATCTTACCGACGTCCTTAAAGCTCGCACACGCGCACACAAAAACAGACACGCGCGCATTATCCTAATGGAAGCAGTCGACTTTCGTTGTTTTAGTCTTCCCGCAGCGGGTAAAATGCGCATATAATAAGCGAGTGAATCGATATTTAGAGATACGCAAGGCGAAAGAAAAGCCGACAACGCCCTTGCGCCTCCGCGCGAGATGCACTTTTAATTTAAATAAATAACGTGCTTGCACGCGCGCGCGCTTGTCTCCCGTTTATAAAGTGAGTTATGGATGTTATTGAAATGCTCAGACTTGGCAATGACCCCAATCACGGCGTGCTACCGATCTAGATTACCGTTCTTGAGAAGGAAGAGAGAAAGGTGCTGCCCGACGTCGTTGCCGGCAGAGTCCAGGTCGTCGTGCCTCCACTACTCGGTGCGCCTGCCATCTCGCATTTTCCTTCTCACGAATTGTGGGAGTCGTCGTGGGCTCGAATACGTGATGCGCGATACCGGGAAATGACGCACTTTATAGTTAAATGCTTTTTCAACGTTCGACTGCGTCTTAAACTACTTTTTGTGCGACGAGGTTAATAGAGCAGTCACTGATATTTTGCTGTTTCGCGGGATCTGCACGATTATAAATTGACCATTGAGCTGTTATAAGGTGTATCCGGGCACGTTATTATATGAATATTGACAGACGGTCCTCTTAATTATGAGATTGGGAGGCTGGGACGATTTTAAGCATTATAAGTCTAATTGGTTATTGGTCATTTTTCGTCACTAAGGTCAATTGGGATTTGATCGTCGAATTGCCGCTGATTGATTATACAATTCGATTTCAATCAATTTCTGAGGATTATCGTTTGTAAATATTGTGGTTCGACTTGTTATACTTAATTTAAGAAAGTCCTCGAGTTCTTTTAATATAATTAAATATCAAGATATGTTCCGTGCTTACGATTTATCGATATGTTGTAGAATTTTATAAACTCGAATAAATTCGAAATAATTGAGAATACGAAATAATCTATATCTTGAATCTATGTATTGAACTTTCACAAATTTAACAACAACAACAACAACAACAACAACAACGAGAAAAAAAATGTATGTAAATTCCAGAAACAATTAATAAAATTAATTAAAGTTAACGAATAGTAAAAAAAAAAAAAAAAAAAAAAAAATTAAACAAATACATTAATTTTTCAAATTTACATCTTCATATACTCGATTTATAAAATATCACTCGGTATTATTATTGTTATTTTTCATTATTACTATATATCATTAAAGGTGCTGCTACAATTTTTACTTAGTAATTTAAAAAATATATTTCTTTGCATAACGCTCTTCTTTATGTATTATAAATACTTACATTATTTTCGATATATTTGTATGCTAGATTATACAGAGTATGTTGAATTATCTTTATTATAACATAACTGTTATTTCAAAAAGTAGGACTCATTTAAAAATCGTAAACACGTGATTCATTATTTTATATATAAAATTGGCTTTCGGAATTTTATTTACATCCACAACAGTACCCATGAGAAATTCCTTTTATTAGTCAATTTATTTTATCATCATCTAAATCATTAATATGTATCGACGAGATTATTCTTATTTATTAATTAAACGGAAAATTCTAGCAGCATATAGAATTATCGGATTAGCTTAAATATTAACTTATGATTTATAAACAAACAACAGATTTTTTCATTAAAATAAAAAAAATCTTCAAAGTTCATTTTCAATCATTATTTGTCATTGTTTATTAAATTTTTTTAACTACGCTTATAAATTCGCTATCAATAATTAAATAAACAATTATATCAT